CCCAGAGTTAAAGTACAATTTTTAGTCATAATAGAGGAAACTCATAGAAGTTTCTGCACCAAAGCAGATTGTTCCATTCTTTAAAGCATCTGTATGAATAGATAAATCAAGGGACTTAGTGAGATTTCTTTAATGTATTTGTGACGTCCAGAATTACATAACTATAAAATGCTGTACACTGCCCATTTTACATAAAAGAAATTTACATCTTTGGATCATAGAACACAGATTGAGTCTTTATCCTCTACAGCCTTCATTAATGTAACTACATTAGCTTTGCTCTAAAATACGATAGTAGTACTCAAATTCGTGGCATTGCCAAAACCATGATCCTTCTGGAGAAAATAAATCACTTACAGTTTGGTTGGTAAGTAACTTGGTGAGTCATCCTTACTTCTGATAATTTCATTGCACTTGTCAATAGTTTTATATACAGAGAAAGTGTCACCAACATTATATAACAAGGCCAGATTCTTGGCAATCAGCTTGCGGACAGGTGGGCCTGGTGAGCTCTCCAATAAGGATGTCAGCTGTTCCACAAGCTTCGTTTGCTTCTCCTTAATATCATCCTGCAAAGAAAAATGCTTAGTATCAAAGTTCTGTTGTCATAATCTGACCAAAAAGACCCACAAGTGTTTACTGGTTAACACGTGACCCATTCACTCAAAACAAATGACTCTGCAAACCAGACAACTATTCCGCACAAATAAAAAACTTCCAGAACCATGAAATAGTCACTTCATCCTCCACCTGAACCCCTGACGTTCCCTCTCATCCTGATTATTACTTTCATCTCATTTCCACTTCCACTAGACCAAGGAATTCATGCTTGAACAGATGAAACTGCAATTGGTTTAGTCATTCATTTCCAGTCAAAACATCCAACGGTCCTGTTCTTCTCTGTCAAAATGGCTCACTATCTCCACATCATTACGGAATGCAAATAGACCGTGCCTCTTTTCTTGACTGCAAACTTTCTTCTTAAATCCCTCTCCACATTTCATTTAGCATCACTTCCAATAACAAGTGAAAGGATGTCATCGATGTTCATGACCAAGATCAAGACCAGTCATTCGGCTGCCTCTGCTGCAACCATCCTCTTCCTTTGCCAAACTTCCCCATAGTCTCCCCCTGCACAGCCCCGAGTTCACATCTTTTAAGTTTCTCCCCTCATGCCATCTCAAGCGTCCAGTCCATTCAACCCAGCTCCTTCTCCAATTTCCTTATTCCTACTAAAAACTGCTAACCAGCCAACTTTCCTTCCTGACTTCTATGCTATTCATCATAATTAATCGTTCCCTTCCTCGGTACTAGTTTTCATGTTCACTCCTCACAGTTCAATCAGCCATTATCAACTCATCTCACAAATCGTGTCTCCACGAAAAGTCCATAAGATGATGTAGGAGCAGTAGTAAGCTATTCAACCGGAGTCTGCTCCACCATTCAGTGAGATCACGGTTGTTATGAATATTCAAATCCACTTTTGTCCCTTTTCCCCAGAACCCTGGATTCTCTTACCGATTAAAAATATCTCAGCCTTGAACATACTTCATAACCCTGCCTCACTGGTCCTATGTGGTAAAGAATACCAGAAATTCACAACCCTGAGAAGAAACTCCTCCTCATCTTGGTCTTAAATGTGTCACTCTTATTCCGAGATCTGGTCTTTGAATCTCCCACAAGGAAAACAACCTTTCCGCATCTACCAAGTCCTCTAAGAGTCTTATTTGCTTCAATAAAGTTATTGCATTTCCTTCTATATGCCAATGAGTACCGGCTTAATTGACTACCTCTCCTCAGCACAAGGTTCCACCATACCTGATATCAGTCCAGTAAACCTCTAGACTGCCTTCAATACCACTAGACAAGGCACGTAAAACTGTTCACAGTATTCTAGCTGAGTATTCTGATAGTGCCTCGTATAGTTTCAGCAAAACCTCTCCACTTTTACACTCCATTGCTTTCCTTATGACCCGCTGAAGTTGGTTACTAGTTTTTTTTGAGATTGATGAACAAAGGCACCCAAATCTCTCTGTTCCACAGCTTTCTGCAGTCAATAAATAACATTCAGCTCCCTTATTCTCCTGACAAGTTTAATTTTCCAACATTATATTCGATCTGGCAAGTTTTTGTCCACTCAAACGGTCTGTATCTCTCTGCAAACTCTAACCCCTTGCTTTCCCACCTATTTTTGTACCATTTGCAATCTTGGCTCTCAACTCCTAGTGCTTTTAAAAACTATTTCTCACTCAAGTCCCTGAACACACTACACCCTTCTCAATTCATGTCATTCCTTCCTGAAATTGAGCCTTTGTAACCAATATTATAAGAAAACAGATTGAAACTTTAACTAAAAGTAGCATCAAAAATATTCATTCATGAGATGTGGACATTTTGGCTGGAACAGCATTTATTGCCCATCCTGAATTGTCCTTGAGAAGATGAGCTCCCTCCTGAACCACTGTAGTCCATGTGGTGTAATTTTACTCACAATGCCATTAGGGAGTGAATTCCAGGATTATGACCCAGTAATAATGAAGGAATGATGGTATATTTCCGAATCAGGATTGAAAGTGACTCGAGGATGTGCTTGTAGGTGGTGACATACCCTTGCCAACCTCGATGGTCACAAGTGAGGAAGGTGTTATTGAAGGAGCCCGGATGACTTTCTGCAGTGCATCTTAGAGATGCTACTATGTTGCAAGGAGCAAATGTTTGTAGTAGTGCTGCCAATCAAAATGGGTTGTCCTGGATGGTACTAAGCCTCTTATCTCCTTTTGGAGTTGCACTCATTTGAGCAAGTGAAGGTTATTACATCACACTCCTGACTTGCATCTTGATAGATGGTAGAAAGGCCTGGGAAAGTCAGGAAGCAAGTTACTTTCCACAGCACTCCTAGATTGTTTTGCTTTTGTAGCAGCAGTATTTATATGGCCAGTCCAATTTAGTTTCTGGTCAATAGTAACCTCCAGGAATTTTGTAGCACCCATTCCTAACAAGTCCTCATCCTCCCCAGTTTGCCTGCTGCAGATAAAGCTCTTCATGACAGCATTGGCAAGACTGACTACCATCTTTAGATACCCTTTATTGTTTTGTGTGGCATTGTCACTGTGGCAAAAGGGATAAAAAGGAACAGATCTAGCAACTCAAATGAGACACTTCGGGCCAACAAATTTGCAATCTCTGTCACTTGATAAGGACAAGGACAGCAGATACATGGGAACATCACCAAGTGCCTCTCCAAGCCACATACCATCCTGACTTGAATTATTCTGCACCTTCTTCACAATCACTGGTTAAAGTCTTGGAACACGAGAACAAGTACATGAGATGGACATAAGGCAGTTCACCATCAATGTCTCAACGATTATTAGGGATGAGCAATAAATACTGGCCTTATATGCAATGCTTTTATATCCAATGGCAGAATCCAAAGCCATGTAATTAAACCCCGACTCTGCTGTCCTTTTCTTTTTTTCTGTTTTATAGAATTCCTACAGTGTGGAAACCAGCCCTTCAGCCCAACAAGTCCACACCGACCCTCAGAGCATCCCACCCAGACCCGTCCCCCTATAACCTACCTAATCTGAACACTATGGGCAATTTAGCATGGCCAATCCACCTAGCCTTCACATCTTTGGACTGTGGGAGGAAACCCACGCAGACACAGGGAGAATGTGCAAACTCCACACAGACAGTCGCGCGAGGATGGAATCAAACCCGGGTCCCTGGCGCTGTGAGGCAGCAGTGCTAACCACTGAGCCACCATGCCGCCCCAATGTGCACCATCCAATCCAATTTATCCATCACCCCAGTGCCCACTGACCTAAAATGTTAATTCTATTTTTTCCCCACAAATGTTGCCAGACCTGCTGGGTTTACTAGTAATTTCTATTTTTGTTTCTGATTTCCAGCATCCATATTCTTTGGTTCTTTTGCTTAACATATTTTCAGCATTCACCCTATCAAGTCCTCTCTGGAACTTACATATTTCATTAAGATCTTTTCTCACTCTTTCAAACTCCAATGGTTAAAGCCCGACCCTATCCTCAGAAGTTAAACTTCCCCTCAATCCACCGCCCTCAGTTCTAGGAGTCAAATCAGTGAATCTTCTGAACTGCTTCTAATACATTGATAGCATTACTTAAATAAGGACACCAAAACTATACACAGTAGTCCAAGTGTAGTCATACCAACATCCTGTACAACTGTAGCAGGACATCCCTACTCTCAAGTCCCATTCCCCTAGCCATAAATGACAACATTCTATTTCCCTTTCTAATCACTTGTGGCAACCGCTTTCTCATTTTTCTGATTCATGTACTGGATAATAAAATCTCTCTGAAGCCTCAACAGATTTATTTTCCTTACAACATCCTCCAGCTTACAGTGCATCCTTCCCGTGATTCATCAAACTACTATGACAGAATCTTTAGTCATCTAAACCTTGCACTGTTGAACACAATTCTTAAAAATCTGTACCTCTTTTCTCCTATCTTAAAAATATTCCCAAAACCATTTTCAACAATTACCCACTCTGAAGCATGCCACATGGCTTGAGGGCATCATGTGTCCAAAGGGCAAAGTTGCCATCACCAAGTTTTTGATGTAACCTTAATCCATGGCTCTGCCTCTCTGTTCAAGTTACAAACAAGTCATCTAATGGCAGTATTTAAAGAGCTGGAACTACCCTGCTCAGCATTCCTCCACAAATCAACAACTTTAAAACCAGATAATTACTATTTCCACACTTGCTGTTTGTTGAATTCTGCTGTCTGTAACATACTGCAATTTTACCTGCATGATAATGGTTATATTCAAATTGGTTATTAAGCATTTTCAGCTACCGTCATCCCAAGTGTTAAACATAAATTCTTCTACCAAAGCAAATTACTTATATTCAGAAAGAACAGCATTGAAGAAAGATACATTTTCACAGCACTTAGAAGTTGTGCAACAATTTACCTTGCTGGCAGCCACCAAAATTTTCTCTAAGAATCGAAGCCATTCAAAAACAAACTCTGGTTTCTTTGATTCACTCAGTTGGCTGTAAAGCTCCTCATTTAGCAGTGGGCCATGTGCTTCTTCCATGCCTTATTTTGGTTTCTTCTAATGACCACTGAAACTTCACAAATGACAGTGAACAAGAATTAAATGTCCTGGCATCTTTTCAGTTGCTGCAACACAAAAGAAAATTCATTCACAGTCTCAGTCCATCACTGGTTCAACAATAAATGAAAAACTATCTTGCCAGAAATAATATTTTATTCCAAAGCTAATTGGGAGAAAAAGCTCCCAAGAATTTGCATTTATCATACACACCTCCTAGCATCCTCAGCAATTATTTTTGTATCTGCCAAGGAGAACCATATTCCAAATTGTAGATTATCTTCTTCCAATTATTGGTAAACGATCGGATCATTTTATTTGATAAGTCATCCATTTACCAACACATCTATCAACCACCTTTATAATTAAATCATTACCTACAAATTTTAATAAACTTGATAAATACTTCACTCTCAATTTACAAATCCAGCCATCTTCAAGTAATTTGATTGCTTACAATGCACAGCTGATAAATAAATTAGGCATTTTTCTAGAAAATGTAAATGCTATCTTGCCATTCTAAAATCAAAATTACAAGCAGGTCCAAACATAAAAACTAAGGGGAAAAGGGTAATATATTTAGTATTTAGTATTTAATATTCATCTTATAAGAATGTCTTGCGAAGATCAACACAAGTTATAGGTTTGGATGAAAATGTTTTCCACACTTTTCCAAGTCAGATCCCTGTTAAAGTTTGAAATGTGATCACCTGTTACGATCAGTCCACTCATTAAGAAAGATGAGCAAGGAATACGCATTCCGGCTACATAATTTATACAGTTTGCAAACAGAGTCTCCAAATCCACCGTAACACAAGATATATTCCCTCCACAAAGTACCAAAGTACTTGACAATGGGATAATTTCAAAAAACAGCCAAATAAATTCAGAAGGTACCAAATACTTACTAAGCAACATCTAGATTCAAAAATTTCATAACTCTGAAATAATGAAACAAAGATGGAATTTTGTTGGATTGCCACAAAGTTATTCCTCAGGTTGCTATACAGTTCTAAACTCCCAACATTTCCAATTCCAATATTCCACAAGGCTGTTGCATTCACAGAGACGACAACACAAGGACTTTAGAATTGAACTTGGAAGACTCTGAGGCATGCCAGCCACTTCTACGTATACCTACAACTCCAACAGCCCATTCATTTCTTCTGGTATGTCAATCTCCAGATGATTCAACTTCCCTGCTCCACATCGTCATTAAAATGGGTACAAGATCTGATTATTGAATATGGTAGAATTAACAATGAAACCAATCGGTTTTAATAAATTCAAGAATTTACTCTGGCAGTTACACTAGGACTAAGGTTCCAAGAGCTACATTTTCTGTGAAGAGTAAAAATATTTATCGTTGTATCAAAAGGTGAAATTACCGTGAAACTTGCATGGATTTATGACTACATATTTATAACCTAGCATACTTGCAACTCATTCCCCCAATGATGCATTATTTGTAGTATACAGAACACACACTATTATAATCAAGAGTTTAATTTAACTATTTGGAAACACAAGGTAGTTCTGCTGGCTTTATATTGAATGTGTCTGCTTGTCAGCGTTGATTGTAAAAAGCACCAAAGAACGAATAGAGGATTAATGAATAGAGGAAAAGTTGAGTACAACAGCTAGTGAAAAATGTAAAAACTGACAGCAAGAGGAACAGGGTTAAAATAAATATTGGTCCAATAGAAAGTGAGTCTGTGGAATTAATAGGAAGTAATGAAATGGCAGATGAATTGAACAGGTATTTTACATCAGTTTTCACAATAAAGGATACAAATAAATTCCCAGGAATACTGGTTAATCAGGATATGGAAAGGAAAGAGGAATTCAAGAAAATTACAGTTAATAGGGAAAAGATACTGAGTCAATTGTTGATCTTAAAATTCAATTAGATCACAAGATAGTGAATGTAACTCCTTTACTCAAAAAGGGAGTGAGATAGAAAACAGGAAACAACAAACCAGTTAGTTTAATATCTGTCATATGAAAGATGTTATCAACTATTATTAAAGGGGCCTCTTCTCGAGTACTGTGTCCAGCTCTGGTCACCCAGTTACAAGAAGGATATTATCAAGTTGGATAGGGTTCAGAAGAGATTTACCAGGATGTTCCAGGTATGGAAGGTTTGAGTAATAAAGAAAGGCTGGGACCTTTTTCATTGGAATGTAGAAGGTTGAGAGGTGACCTTATCGAGATTTATAAAATCATGATGGGTACAGATAGGGTTAAATGGCAGGCATCTTTTACCTAGGATGGGAGATTTCAAGACCACGGGGCACATTTTTACGTTAAGAGGAAAGAGATTTTAAAAAGACATGATGGGCAATTTTTTTTTTTTTTACACAAAAGATGGTTCGCTTATGAACTTCCTGAGGAAGTGATGAATGTGGGCACAATTATGACATTTAAAAGATGCTTCGATAAGTACTTGAATAGGAAAGGTTTGGAGGGATATGGGCCAGGAGCAGGCAGGTGTGAGTAGTTTAGTTTGGGATTATGTTCGGCATGGAGCAGTTAGACTGAAGGGTCTGTTTCCATACTGTATGAAAGTATGAGTGGCTGAATAGGCTGGGTCTGGTGGGACACAAAAAAAAATTGAAGTGATCAGGCAGAGTCAACATGGTTCATGTTCAACCAAGTTATTGAGCTCTTTGACAAAATAACATGTGCTTTGGATAAAGGGGAACCAATTGATGAGCTAAACTTGGAAATCCAGAAGGTATTTGGTAAGGTACCACACCTAATGTTACTGCAAAAGATAAAGACTCGTGGTGAACTGGCATGAATAGAACATTGTGTAGCTAACAGGAACAATAGGCATAAATGGGTGATTTTTGGGATGGCAAGATGTAATGAGTGATACGCCACAGGAATCAGTGCTGGGGCCTCAACTTTTTCTAATTTATGAGTGACTTGGATGAAGAGACCAAAGGTTATGGCTGCTTAATTTGCTATTGACACAAAGATAGGTAGGAAAATAAGTTATAAAGAGGACACAGAAGACTACTGAGGAATACAGATAGGTTAAGTGAATGGTCAAAGATCAGGCAAGTGAAGTATAATGTGGGAAAATGTGAAACTGCCATTTTGTCAAGAAAAATAGTAAGAAAGCATATTATTTAAATGGTGAGAGATTGCAGTTCTGAGAAACAGAGGAATATGGATGTCTTAGTGCATAAATCACAAAACATTAGCATGCAGGTAAAGGAAGCAATAGAAAGGTCGTGCTTCAGTTGTTGAACAGACCACATCTGGAATATTACGTACAGAATTGGTCTCCCTACTTAAAGAGGGTGTTAACGTGTGGAAGTAGTTCAGGGAAGTTTTGTTAACTAATAACTAAATGGGTGGGTTGTCTTACTAGGAAAGGTTGGACAGGCTTTCCTTCTAAACACTGCAATTTAGAACATCAAAAAGGCACTACAATTGTGGATCCTTAAGGGTCTTGACAAGGCAAATGTGGAAAACTTGTTTCCTCTTACAGAAAAATCTAGAACAAGGGGTCACTGTTTAAAAATAAGGGTTGTCCATTTATGTCAACAATGCAGAATAACTTTTTTCTGAAGGTTGAGTAAATTTGGGGAACTCTGTCTGAATAGGTGGAAGCAGAGTCTTTGAATATTTTTAAGGCAGATGTGGATAGAATCTTGGTAAGCAAACGTGTGAAAGGTGATTGCAGGTAGGCAAGAATGTGGGGTTGAGATAAGTCATCAGTTCATTAAATTACATATCAGGATCAAGGAGCCAAACAGCTTATTCCTGTTCCCAACTTGAATCTTTAGATGTCGTAATCCAAATGACAAATTTGTGAAATTCTCAAGAGGTATTGGTCATCAGATATATAAATTCACATGAACAATGTGAGATCAAATTACTGCCTGGAACAGAAAGATGCAAAAGTGAAGAAATGCATGAATTGCAATGCTTGTGATAATATAATGCCAATTCTCAGAAGGATAGAATTCATTTAAATGATAATTGCACACTAAGCAATGGATTAGAGATAAAGTGACTTGACTAGTAATCAAATTTCACTTAACTCCCAACGCTTCATCAGGTATGCCAGGTCTAACTAATTTTAAAAGAAACTGGCTGATTTACTAGTTTGTATTTTGAGACCAAAAGCGGTGTCATTGTCAGAATTGCACAGCATGAAAATAGACCCTTTGGTCCAAGCCCTCCATGCCAACCAGACATCCTAAATTAAACTAGTCCTATTTTCCAGCATTTGGCCCATATCCCTCCAAACCATTCCTATTCATATACCCATCCAGATACCTTTTAAATATCGTAATTGTACAAGCCTCCACCACCTCCTCTGGCAACTCATTCTATACACACACCATCGTCTATGTGAAAAAGTTGCCTCTTAGGTCCCTTTCATATCTTTCCCTTCTCACCTTAAACACCCACTCTGGGAAAAGGACTTTGGCTATTCACACTGCCCATGCCCCTCGTGATTTTATAAACTTCTGTAAGGTTAGCCCTCAGCCTCTGATCTCCAGGGAAAATAGCCCCAGCTATTCAGCTATTCAGCCTCTCCCTACAGCTCAAACCCTCCAACCCTGGCAACATCCTTGTAAATCTTTTCTGAACCCTTTCAAGTTTAACAACATTTTTCCCATAGCAGGGAGACCAGAACTGAATGCTGTATTCCAAAAGTGGCCTAAACAAAGTCCTGTCCAGCTGCAAGATGACCTCCCAACTCCTATACTCAATGCACTGACCAATAAGACAAGCGTAACAAACACCTTCTTCACTACCCTGTCTACCTGCAACTCCACCTTCAAATAACTATGAACCTGCATTCCAAGGTCACTTTGTTTGGCAACACTCTGCAGGGCCCTCCCATTAAGTAGATAAGTCCTGCCCTGATCTGCCTTACCATAATGCAACACCTCACATTTATCAGCCCATCAGGTCAAGGTCCCACTGTACTCTGAGATAACCTTCTTCGCTGTCCACCACACGAATTTTGTTGTCATTTGCAAACTTACTAACCATACCTCCTCTATTCACATCCAAATCGTTTATATCAATGACGAAAAGCAGCGGACACAGCACCCATCCTTGCAGCACACCAATGGACATAGGCCTCCACTCCGAAAAACAATTCTCCACCACCACCCTCTGTCTCCTACCTTCACTCCAATTTTGTATCCAAATGGCTACTTCTCCCCGGATTCCATGTGATCTAACCTTGTTAATTAGCCTACCATGCAGAACCTTGTTGAACGCCTTGCTGAAGTTCACATAACAACTTCCATCCTCTGTCTCCAATTTGGTCATGTCTTCAAAAAACTTAATCAAGTTAGTGAGACATGATTTCCCACACACAAAGCCGTGTTGACCATTCTTAATTAGTCCTTGCCTCTCCAAATACATTTAAATCCTGTCCCTCAGAATCGCCTTGAACAACTGACATACCACTGATGTCAGGCTCACGGATCTGACCTTTGCTTACCATTTCTTAAATAATGTCACTATATTAGCCACCCTCCAGTCTTCCAGCACCTCACATGTGGCTATCAATGATACAAATATCTCAGCAAGGGGCCCAGCAATCTTTCCCTAGCTTCCCACAAAGTTCTGGGATATACCTGATCAGGTCCTGGGGATTTATCCTCTTTTATGCGTTTTGAATGTTACAGGAATCAATTACTTGCCATGATCCCAAACACCATATATATGCATTACATGATCTGTCAAATGCTCTGCTATAGTATACAAATATGTAGATTGCTTCAAATACAATTTCTGCTGTGCACAGCTTCTGAAGGTGCAGTATTCGTGTTTGGTAGCAATACTAATCTTGAAGGTAGATTTAGTAGATTTCAAAGAATGTTCGCAGTTGATACACAATTTGGAACAACCACTAACCCCTTCAGCAAGGAGTTTCTAGATAATACTCAAAGCATGGATTACAGATCAGTTCTCAAAAAATAATTACTTACAAACAAAACAGCACAATTCATAATTTTCCTGTATCTTTATAAATATTATAAAGACTATAAATATTGAGGGTGGCACAGTGGCTCAGTGGTTAGCGCGGCTACCTGGCTCACAGTGCCAGGAACTCGAGTTTGATTCCACCCTTGGGCGACTGTCTGTGTGGAGTTTGCACATTCTCCCAGTGTCTGCATGAGTTTCCTCCAGGTGCTCCAGTTTCCTCCCACAGTCCAAAGATGTAAAGGCTATGTGGATTGGCCATGCTAAATTGCCCATAGTGTTCAGGGATGTGTAGATTAGGTGGGTTATGAGTCTGAGTGGGATGTGTTGGGGGTCAGTGTGGACTTATTGGACCGAAGGGCCTGTTTTTACACTGTAGGGATTCTATGATCTATAATCATATAAGGCATTTAAGAAGGTGGTTTGGGAAAGGCCTTGACAGAAGTTATCTACTTATCGAGTGCACCAAGCAATGCAGAAAGTTGTTACCAATTTTGGTTGGTGCATCCCAAACCTTATGCAAATAGCTTTGGTCCAACAGATCAGCACTAACTTGAAGCCTTTTATCAAATAGAAATGAAAAATTTTTTGTTTTCTTACACACAATGTCATCATTGCTGACAAGGCTAATATTCCTTTCCCAGCCCCATTTACCTCAGAGAAAGTGATGGTGAGCGGCGTTCTTGAACCACTGTAGTCTATCTGGTGCTATTCAGAAGGGTGTTCCAGTATTTTCACGAAGCAGTGAAGGAACAGCAATATAGTTCCAATTCAGGACAGTATGTCACCTGGAAGGAAGCCCAAGAATAGTAGTGTTCCCACACCTCTGCTTCCTTTGTCTTCTAGATGGTAGAAGTCAAGGGTTTGGAAGGTGTTGCCTCTGTGCATCAGTAGTGGTAGAAGTGCTAATCAGGCAGGCTGTTACGTCATAGAAGTCTATAGCACAGAAAAAGGCATTTCAGCCCATCAGGTGTGTGCCAGTAAAAAACCACCACTTACATATTCTAAACTCATTTCCCAGCACTTGGCCCATCACCATGTATGTCTTGGCGTCGCAAGGTGCACACCTAAATATTTAAAAAAGTTATGAGGGTTTCTGCCTCTACCATCCTTATAGACAGGGAGTTCCAGATTCCCACCAGCATCCCTTCTAAATCTCCTGCCCCTTACCTTAAAACTATGCCCCACCTATCACTAATCCCTCCAACTGCAGGAAGAAAGTTCCTCCATTGTCTATCCTGTCTGTGCTCTTCATAATTTTATACATCTCAATCAGGTCCCTACTCAGTCTCTTCTGCTCCAAGGAAAACTAACCTGGTCTGTCCAATCTCTCTTCATATCTCAAACTCCCCCGCCCAGCCAACATCCTGGTAAATCTCTGCACCCTCTCCAGTGCAGTCACATCCCTTCTATAATGCAGATTCCACAACTGCACATGATACTCTAGCCGTGGCCTAACCAAGGTTCATGCAGTTCCAGCATTACCTTCTCGCTCCTAAATTTTATGCCTCAGCTAATAAAAGCAAGCATCCATGTGCATTCTTAACCACATGATTGACCTGTCCTGGTATATTAACAGACCGATGGACATACACACGATGATCCCTCTCGAGCCTGAGAGCTTCCCACGTCCTACCGTGCATCGCGTATTTCCTTGCCTTATTTGCTCTGCCTGGTCCTACCTCAAACTTATCTCAATTGAATTTCATTTGCCACTGATCAGCCCATCTGACTAGCCCATCTATAGCCTCCTGTAATGTAAGGTTATCCTCATCACCATTTACCACCCCACCAATCATCCACGAATTTACTAGTCAAACTTACTATCTTCGATGTTGTTGAACTTTTTGAGTGTTGTTGCCTATCATCCAAGCAGATGGAGGGTTTTCCATCACAATCCTGTATTATGCCATATTGACAGTAAACAGCCTTTGGGGAATCAGGACATGAGTTACTTATCACATTGTTCACAGGAACTGATCTGTTACTGTAGCCACAATTTTTATATGGCTGGTGTAGTTCTGTTCCTGGATGTTTTTAAGTGGAATATTCAGCAACTGTACTGCTATTGAATGCCAATGTGAAGAAGGTAAGATTCACATGATACTGTTGGAATAGGTTTTGGAAATCATGAGCTTATACATTACGAGCAGGATGAAGAAAATAAAATATGTTCCACCGAAACCTTCAATACAAATCACCAATCTTATTCAGATAAAATCACTCAAACAACAGGCAACAGGTCAATATTATCAATTTTATCAATATTATCAATATTTTGGCACCATAAAAATAATTTTAATCATTAGAGAAAGTGCCAAGTTTTAAAATGGACAACAATCTCAAAGCTGATGTTTCACTGATAATAATGTACAATCTCATTCATATGTGAAATATCAATGTCAAACAAATCTAAAGCTTAGTGGATTTTTTTTTTAAAAAATGCCTCAAAGCTTTTCAAATAATTCTCATCTCATTAGGCCAGCAATGGCCAGTTCATATCCTCCATTTTTTGTAAAAACTCAATGGTGACCAGTTCTTACATCAAACCTAGTTGCTAGAAAGAATTCTCCTTCATCTCCCCTCACCCCAACCAAGTAAAAGAAAATAACTTATCCCCACAAATAAAAACCAAAAGAACTGCGGATGCTGTAAATCAGGAACAAAAACAAAGTTGCTGGGAAAGTTCAGCAGGTCTGGCAGCATCTGTGAAGGAGAAAACAGAGTTAATGTTAACCCGAAACGTTAACTCTCTTTTCTCCTTCACAGATGCTGCCAGGCCTGCTGAGCTTTTCCAGCAACTTTATTTTTATCCCCACAAATGTCTGTATGCAGAAAACTACTGTTGAAAGTTCAGTACACTATGTACCGTTGGCAGTAAAACATTCCATTACAGGAACAAATGTGACCTGAACTACTGCTTAAAATTGTTTGTGGAAAACCACCTGTTACTGAAGATCACAACATCTCTCATTCACTTATGTGAAACATTCTTATCAACAAATCGCCAAATACATCAAAAAAATGAAAACAGAGCAAAATATTTAAAATAGCTAAAAATATTTCCTTCCCTCGAGGGAGCATTATTTAAGAAAAGGGCAAAGGTATACAGGCCTTTTAAGAAAGATTTTTTTTTCTTCTGAAGCAAGCTATCTTGAGCTCTCTGCCTAAAAGTCTGGTAGAGGTAGGAACCAGCGCAACATTTCAGAAGTATTTACACGATTACTTGACGCATCACAGCATACAAGGCTATGGGCCAAGTGCTGGAGCAGGGTAGATTAGATAGGTGCTTGATGACCAACATGTACACGATGGGTCAAACAGCTTCTTTCCGTGGCAAACTCAACGACTCTAACCCACTTAATTTTATTTCACCTTTGAACTACTTCCTTTCTGTACCCTTTACACACGGGTCTCAAACCAATGTTTGCAACTTCGGCAAAAATGTCAACTGCCGAAGATAAAAACTCAAAAGATTTACTTGCTATAATATACTGATCCACAAACAGAGCAAACTAACAACGGTGTGCGGCAGTTTGCAATTTGCGCCTATACTTGAGTGAATAGTTGCAAAAAATTGAAGATATAAAATACCGACGTTTTATTTCTCAAATCGACCCTTAGCCACTGACATAAACTTCCTGACGCCCAACCCTGCAATGACTAGCACAGCAATTATTTGAGACAGCAGCAAGTATCCCGAGGGCTCCTAATGGGTCCACTTGGACTCTAGGGCCGTGGAAAGTAGGTTTGCACCAGTTGGTGCACGGCGCTGCCAGCTGCAACAGCCCCGCCGCTTATGCAGACTCCGCCCGGATCCTAACCCGGGCTCCTCGGTCCATTGCAAGTCTTTAATCCGTTTCCTCGGAGCAAGCCCAGTCGAACTTCAGCCCTTGGTCTGGCTTTAGGAAACAACAGACGAGACTAAGAGACAGACAGGGATAAAACTCGACTTTTCCCAACAATAACCCGACCGTTTTAAAAAGTGAGGGCCCTCTCAGCAGTACGCTGCCTCGTTCCACCATCTCCACTTGCCTGCACAGAGACCGACTGCTCCCTCCGGAGTATCTCGTCTTAGAGTTTCTCACTGAATGGCAGCCAGTGCCTTTGGAACTGAAGAGGCCCCGGGGAGTCGCCTTCGGTGCTCACCTCCTCCTGGTAACAACGACCGTCCGTAACTAAGGGCTAGCCGAGTTCCGAGCGATCGAACGGCCCCGGCGACCAGCCGAACTCCGAGCGATCGAACAACGCTGATGGTTAAACCGTAGAATGAGCGTTGGAAGGGCTGGCGCAGATGATTCTGCGAGTCTAACCGCGAGAAGTTGAAGGTGTTGAATGGGCACTCACCAGAAAAAGTCCCAAACTCTTCAGTCTTCTGCCTTACTTAATAGTCCCCCCAGTAAACGGTAGGCACTGCAAAACCCAGTCAAACTCCTAGAGTTGTAGATAGGCCGGACTTGTTGAACTTAAAAGGTGGAAGGCTGACCGGGAACCTGATTAAATTGTACAAACTTAGGGAGAAATCTTTCTCCTTACAGGACGTAACAACCAGGGCCACCCTTTCAAGGTCAGCAGCGTGAGTTTTAGAGCGGTTGGAGAGGTTTTTTCGCACCCAACTCAGAGTGTGGTGGGTATTTGGAACTTGGCTGTCGAAACGTACAGGTGATGTGAAGGTGCCGGGGTTGGACCGAGGTGGACAAGGTCAGAAATCACACGACACCAGGTTATAGTCCAACAGGTTTATTTGAATACACAAGTTTTCGGAGCCTCAGTCCTTCTTCAGGTGTTAGTCAGAGAAGTAGTATCAGACACAGAATCTATAAGTAAAAGATCAAAGGTTCACACTATCGATGAGGATATAATAAACCAACCGAAGATGCTGATAAATCTTTAATCAGTTAAAAGGTTTTAATTGATGAATATGTACATATACCTTTGAATTCCCCGAATTCCTTTGAAGTCACTGCCCTGAGAGAACTAAAGGTTTTAATCAGTGTATAGAAGAGGTGACATTTTAGGTCAGACAATGCATGTTAGGTGAGGGACCTTGTTTCGAATCTGTTCGTGTTTTAGTTTGGCGTCAGACTGGTTTTATTTCTAAAGTAAGAATTTATAAAACGCCACATTGTCTATCAATTTTGTGCTACATGAATAAAGTAAATTGTATCTGCAAATACAAATTCACCCCATACATTCACATGTGTGAGAGAGAGAGCGCACGCGAGTGAGTGGGGAGGAGTGAGGAGAGAGAGAGAGCGTGTGCGCGAGTGAGCGGGGAGGAGTGAGGAGAGAGAGAGCGCGTGCGCGAGTGAGCGGGGAGGAGTGAGGAGAGA